GTCAACTAAACTTCAATAAAAAAAGAATAAATATTTTAAAAATATCTCAGCTTTAACTTACAATACAGTAAGTATCAATAGGTTAACTAACCCAGAATAAACAAAAGTTCTTTGGGGTCTCCAGTAATTTTTGACAGTATAAGGGAGTCCTGGGATGAAAAAGTTCGAGAATCACTGAATTAGAAGAATGGTATAAATAACCAAGTATGCTGGAGAATATAAGGGGGATTAAAGGACTCTAAAAGAAAATGTACTCATTTCAAGAGTATTAGGGATGACCAAAACAAAACAAATAAAACCCCTATAAAACCAAATAGTTAAAAAGAAAAAAGTTATGTTAGACTCCCAACTATCATTGTTGTCCTTGGGAAAACAAAACAAAACAAAATCACCAAAAGCAACAAAAAAACATTAAAAGCACAACTCCTTACCCTGGCTAAGAGGACTTGATGGACTAAAAGATGGCTGATACAGATCTTTGGTTGGCGTTGGAAAGGATTCTTTCCCTTGGCGCTGACTCATCTTTCCTGGTGTCAGGTGTTGAGTATCGTCACTGTTTGCTACCACAGCTCAAGGAAAGAAGGGAAAAGCAATTAGTCATGGATTTATATAATGGCATAGTTAATAACATGGACTAGAACTATGACTGAAATGGCCTCAATGGTTATATTCATTTTACCAACTCAATACCTTAATAAATTAATGTAACTGTTTTATTTTTGGGTTGCTTTCAATTCAGAATGAATTTATAGGTATGTGTCAAATTACACAAATTATAGACCTCATAAAAATGAAAGTACATTTCTGATAACGAAAGGTACACCCAGGTTTACTGTTGACCTTTCATTGTGTTATTAACTCTATATATTCACCAATAGAGCAATAAGCAAAGACAATGTCATTTCACAGGAGAAATACAAATGGTCAATAAATATGTGAAAAGATACTCAATCTCATTTGTAATCAGAAAAAATACAAATTAATAGCAGCATAAAACAGTGTTTTATATTCCCTAGAATTTCTACTGTAATTTCTAATTTTCATGGAAGGTAGGTATGATTCTTGATTCAAGTTTCTTGGGGAAACTTGAGGTTCAGAGACTGCTGTGCCTAAGAGTAAGCAGGTAAAATTCTAACACAGGACCATTTGGTTCCAAAGTCTGGTCTCTTAAAAGATTGCTGCCCCAACAGTCAACCTAAATAGTGTTTAAGGCTGCTGTTCAGCCATTTGGCCAAGCTACTAATAGAGGAGAGCAATGCCCAGTTCC